CCCTAATGAACCTCAACAAGCCAGGGTGTTGTCCACTGAGGTCAGACACTGAACTCTTGGTGTGAAAGCAGTCAGATGGAGGGAGTGACACCAGCAGCCCCTGCCCACCAGCCTTTTGGATCAAGCAGGTGGGCAGGACTGCTGGAACAGGCGTTTCTTCCCTGCTGCCAAGCCTATAGGCACCCGGAGCCCAGGACACCCCACAGAAGACGGTGAGCCAGCACCTGGGTCCCAGCCCTCCATCACCGCTCAGAGCAAGCACATTGGTGGGACACTGTCCTAAACCACACAGAAGACTCCTGGGGTCAGAGCCCCTATATCCAGCTTGATTACACGGAGGGGCACAGCTCCACCTGGAACAGCCCAAACCAGACTGTGTATTACAGAAAAGTGGATATACAGTGTTTATCAAACAGCGTTACAATTCAGGACATAAATCAGTCTGACCAACTGCCAGCCTTGAATCAGTAATATTCTTGTAGATGAGTAGCTAGAGTATTAAATAAAATCCTTACATAACAGACAATCCAAGCCTGTCCATTCCTACAGATTTACTGCTCTGCCTCCAGGTTTAAAGCCAGCCGCCTTGGCTCCCAGCCACAGTGCCCTGCTCCCAATGAATCCATGGGCTCCCGGTGAGCTGCACAATGTGCCAGGGAACTTGGAGCTCTCATGCCCCATGGATTTTCAGAGCAAATGAACACACAAAAAGGTTTGAAGGCAAAATGACTCTGGCGTGTTACAGTTCAGACAGACATCCTACAAAGCATCGCATCAAGAGTAAACCAAGAGTTGGAGGGCTGCCTCTCATCTGTATGAAGTTCAGCCACTTCAAGCCAAGTTTAAGGGGATAAAGCATCAAACTTCAGCTCTCAGCATGCACAACTCTGCTGTCCAAGCAAGTTGGGCTTCTCCCACACTGATGACTGCTATCGTTAGGTTACACTTTGGAGCAGGACATCTCCAACAGCTTTATAACAACAGTGGGCTTGGTCACCACTGCACAGAAAAGAAAGCAAAGCGGAGAACAAGGAGATTTGCCCAGGGTGGCAAACAGGGGCACAGCCCAGAGCAGACCCAGTGCTGAATCTGTTCAGTAGACAACAGCTCTCTCTAAGCCATGTAGCGAGGCTGCTCTGGTTTAAGCAAAGCATATCTTGTTCTTGTACTAAAGGCTCTTTTCTCTCTGTTTTTTTTAAATTGTTAACACATGCTCAGCATCTGTGCATGCAAAATATGCCTGTTACATTTAATACCAATTACAGGATCCACTATGGAGAGAAAATAAGTGTCATTGACTAAAGAAATTAACCTATCAAGCAGCTGGAGTCTCACCGGTCATGGGGATAAATATCTAGCAATGCTGAGGAAAATTCAAATGAACAATATCAATATAGTGTTTATCCAGTTTTATACCATGCAGTCTCTATTTAAATGCCTGGAAGAATTAAAACTCAAGGTTTAAGAAATGGAAATGCAGAATGACATTTGCCATGGAAGTTAATGCTTCTGTTTATCTTCCTGGGCTAGTCCTGTTGGGACTTACCTGGCATTTTTTGAAGAAAGACACTCCCTCCTAAGAAAAGGGGGCATTATCAAACCCACAAGAACTGCAACAAGTATCCGAAGAGATCTACACCCGACACTGCGCGAATGTGACAAACTGGCCGAGGTCCTGCCAGCAGCCTCTTCCAGACCTCCAGCTGCCTTGGAGACACTCAGATCTGACCAATCTCACCATCACAGCAACACACCATGATTTCACACATCGACTCAAGCACATCCCAAACCATTTTTCTTCTACTGGAGCAGAGGCTTATTTAGGCTTTTTTACATATCAAACAGTTGCTTGGAAAATGGAGGTGGGGTTTGGGGTTGCTACACTCTCACAGTAGAGCAACTTGCATTCCCGGTGAGGCTGAGAGTGCCAGAGGCATGATGCAGAGAACACACTGCATTAGAGAATCCCGTGTTCCGTGCTCCACTCAGGACAGCCAAGATCCAAAAGGGATCTGCTAGTGTTGCGCAGAAAACAGGGATCAACAGTACAAGTGGTACAAATTCCATCACTGGGAGCCTTAAAAAAAAAAAAAGTACACTAGACAAAGTCCTGGTGGGACAACACACACCCAATCCTTCCTTAGATCCCAAGCACGCTTGGTTCCAGCTCTCTTAGGCTCTTAAGACAACAGGAGGGCTGGGAAAAGAAAGACCAAAGCAGCACACGCGGAGAGGAAGATGGCTGCCTCCATGTTCACAACCAAGTGGGTTACTTTCTTGTAGTATATGGGCCCAAAACGAAGTAAATAGTCTGGTCTGAGGATGAGAGACACTTCTCAAGCCACTCCATGCTTTGGTGCAAGGGTATGGAATCCCCAGTCTTCCCAGCAAAGCAGGGAAAGAAAACGCATTAAAAACCCCCACCAAACCTTACGAGTAATGGAGAGGGAAAATTCAAAGCAGAACAAATCAGGCAGCAATAAAGACATAAATTTGTGGATAAGGTATCTGGAGGAAGAAGAAGAAAGGATACCAACAGCCAGGATGCCTACTCATACACAGACAGGCAGGCCATTGATAAGAACAGAGGAAGTTGATTTTATTGGAGCCTCCAGCCCCACCATCTGACTGCATGAGCAGCCCAAGTGATCACCATCCCTGGCTCCTGGCCATTTTCCAGCCCTGGTGAACAGCTCAGCTCGTCTTCAAGGGGGCACCTTGGGATACATCTCACCCCCTTCGTCACCACATACAGAAACCGGGCACGTGAGTACCTGCAGTTTGACACTGCGTTTTTGGCACGGCACAAACGTGGCTTAATATTAGCCTAAGATCCAAATGCCAATCCCCTGGGCTACCCACACAGCCAAGAGACATTGCCTAGCAATTTAGCTAACACCAGGTTAGGGTTAATTCAGCTTGATACTAGTTAAACACATGCCCACAACAATACACAAAGACATAGATCACATTCACTCACACACTAATTAGGCTTATTAGGGAAGGAAAAGCCAGAGAAATTCAGAGATTTACTAGGAAAAGATTCATTTATACATGGCAGGGATCAGAAGACAGGACACTTGATGCAACAGCACTTCAATAGACAGCATTCCAGGGGAGAGGGAAAAAACAAACAAACAAACAAAAACCAAAAACAAACCCACCACACACACAAACAACCCACACAGCACACCATTCAGGTTTTTTTAGTGCTCTCCCCATCTGGTAACTCAGCCGAGAGTGCTGGCCCACACAGCCCGAGGCACAGCTACTCCCTGTCCAGAGAGGATCACTCTGTTAGATCACACTTCGCAGCTCCATGAATTTACTTAAGGCTTTAGAAAAATATTAAGTAAAAGCCTGGTATCATGTCAATTAACAGCTGTGCTGCCAAAGCAGGCCACTAAATTAAGCCCATTAAAGCCAACTGCTAGAGAAATCGATTCCCAAAACCAAGTTTCAGTCTTCTTGCTGTGTCCATTTCTCTGACACTAATGAGAAACAAAGGGTTACTGTAGGAGGCCTGGAAGACAGTATAGCCAGAGGAGTTCAACCCCTAACCGTTCTGAGCCGCCACTGATAGCACCATTTTCTGTAATGCCTCAACACAATTAAAAATCCCAGTTTCTCAGTGGCAGCTCTAGCAATGCAGGGCAAAGGCTGCAAAGGTCACTGCTCTGGGCTGTCTGTGCTGCCAGCAACTCCAGCCTAAACCATTTCCCTAATCCCTTATCTCCCCACTGTAAAAGCAGACTCCCTGCTAAATAAGCAAACTGCTGTTTAGATGGCAGAGACTAAGGCACATCTGGCCCCCACAAACACCAATGCCATTAAGGGTTTGACTGTTTCCAGTTCATTAGCTCATGAAACAGCGGAGCTGGAAATGTGTTTAATGCCTGCTTTAATAACATTTTGACAGCTTTAAAAAAAAAAAAAAAGCTTTGACAAATAAGGATTCATTGCACTGGGGTTCATCCAGCTGCCTCCTACCTCTATTATTCAGAGCTTGACTCTGAACTGAAAGCACACCTAAACCTGGCACAGAGATAACCTCACCCAGCTCCCTACAAGCCAAACTTCAAACCAAAGCACGACAAATCCACTGTAGGTCTGAAAAACACTCAGCTGTGATCACTGGGGTAGTCTTACTCAGGGTACATGATGCAAATATACCTAGACTGCCTCTTACCCCTGCAGGTAAGTCACCAGGCTGTTAGGGATCTGTGTGCCATGTTCCATCCCACATGAACATCTCCCAGGCTGATGATTACATTCACCACTTCTCTTTGGTGCTCTGGTCATAAGATGGTGGCAGCCAGGCAAGCTACTCTCCACTGCTGCAGTCTCCTTGCTAAGTGGTTCTCCCCTTGCTGCTCATGCCCAGCTCGCATCCAGCAGATCCAATGTGTGGTGATTACTCATGTTCTGGAGCCTGACCCTGTTTGTACTAAAATACCTCCTCAGGAGCAGCTGTGGCACAGGAAGGACTACGCAGAGTGCCTCCCTCTTGACCTAACTGCAATTAAAACGTCACCAATATTAAACCATGACACACTCTGGAGAATATACAAATGGGATGGCACGGGACTACAGCCTGCAAGCCTGAGAGTTTTGCACCAAAATTCAATAGGGTCAGGAATAGGGTGGAACAAACATCCTCTTGAAAGGGAGCCAGAATCAGTTACAGAGCAGTGGGACACTTTACAGCCTTCAAACAACTTCTTGGTTTTCTTCCCCAGACAGAAAAAGCATGGAGCAAATACATCTGCTGACTATGGGGATTCTACAGCATGCAGCAACATTCATTTTACAGCAGGAAAAACCTGCTGGAAGTTGGTACAACAGCACTGCTTAAATCCTCTTGGTGTTTCAGGACTCAGCACTGAGAACTCAGCAATTCCAGCATTTGTGCTTGTAAGCACAAATGACCAAGGCCTTGCAGAGATAAGCACAGCTCCAATTACTCTGCATCAGCTGAAGCTGAAGAGGATGCCGCTTACCAGGCTGTCCAGCCCTCCTCCCAGGAGGTCCACGGCACCCATCTGCATGGAGGACACTTGGGGAACATTCACTGGGGGGCCCAGGTCCAGGTTGAGAAGGTCACCCAGAAGGTCGCCCTGCGATGGAATAACTTGCGGCTGCTCCAGGTTTGTAGTGGCCGTTGTGCCCACGGGGCTATCGCCTGCATCAGTGCTATGGGTGGGAGGAACAAGAGAGAAACGTCAGCCACTTCTGGTCTCCAGCTTCAGATTCCCAGCATGGAAACACAGCAAGAGGTGGCTCATGAGCAGAAGCCAGTTAAAAGCTTGCCCTAGCAGCTGGTCTGACCACTGCCACGTACAAGGCAGTGTGTTATGGCAAGTAGTTCTTCAACACATGCTTTGAGCACAAAGCCTTTCCATGCATTGTGCACAGGTTTCAGCTCAGAAAAGGGAATCTTCGAGGTATGAAATCTGCCCACCTTGAGAATCACAGACCCCTCCCTCCAAAACAGTGAGCCACGAGTACTACATGGACTACAGCACTAAAAACAATTATTTCCCAGCTCAGAAGAAACCTGTGGAGATGATTTACAGCCCATTGGTCCTGGAGAACATGTAAACATGAAAAAAATCCACATTTCCCCAGAGACCCAATACTGATACAACCCTTGAGCCCCTGCTCTAACCAGTGCAAACTCAACCATCCCCCCCAGATCTGGATTAACCACCTTCCACTGAGCAGCACCAAGTTCCACAATGCTTTCCTAATAAAAGACCTCAACCTAAAATTGATACCTCTTGTACCAATAATTTCTTTTTCTCTGAGTTGGCAGGCACGCTCATTACTAGTCTAGAAATGCTCATTATACAGCTTCCAAAACTTCTCATCATATGCAGTCTGGCTACCTTTTATATTCAGTTGCCACTGAATTTTGCAAGGAGGGCAAAAGAAAGTAAGCTTGACACTAGCTCCATGAGATCTCACTACAGTGTAGTTATTCTTTAAATCCAGAGATGCTAATATTTTAGATAAGTGAAAATCTATGTTGTGTTCTGTTGCCAGCAGTAACTGACAAAGTTATTTCCTGCTCATATTACTGCAGATTGCAGCCAACAGGTAATTGCACACAAATGCCATGGGAATTAGTGTCCTGATAAGGTGTTTAACACTGGGGCTCTTCTGTAAGGACTGCAGCTCCTGATTTTGAGTAGCCACAACCCTCTTCCTTATCCTTATTCAGCTGCTGAGGAGAAAGCTTTAGCAACAGAGTATAAACTGCTCCTAACTACAGTGCCAAGAGGAAAAGATGTGGCATAAGGACTGCAGAATGAATTAGTTACCAGGCAGTGACAGAAAGGGTGGAAAGCTTCTTTGCATTAAAAGCTTTGGACCCCTAATAATACTAATATTAGCT